CGGCCTGGGTGAGTGCCGCTGCGGGGGGCGGTCGGAGCCTCTGCCCTTCCACCCCGGTCGGGTCGGGACGGAGCCGAGCGCCGGGGAGGCTCTCTTTCCACACCGTTTGTTTTCCGCACGGAGCGGTTAGCCAGTGGGCAGTTAGGGTAGCGGAGGGTGGTGGGAATAAGGAGAGAGGCGTTTTCCAGCTTCACAGACTGAATTATTTTAGGGTCAAGGATTATTGACCCCGTAATTATTTTAGAGTCAGCAATTAATGATTAGAGCTCACCTCCGCGGTTCTGGTTGCAGACATGGTGGCGCAGGCACTGGAGCTCTCACGTAAACCCCACGTCGTCATCGCTACGCCCGGCAGGCTGGCAGATCACCTCCGCAGTTCCAACACTTTCAGCCTTAAAAAACTGAAGTTCTTGGTAAGGCAGTTTTCTAGGTTTGTTCATTTTTTTAATACTTTTAAGATTTTTAGCTTTGTTGGTATGCACGCAGATGATCTCGTCTATTTTTGCCTAGGTCTTGGACGAAGCTGACCGGTTGTTGGAGCAGGGCTGTGCTGACTTCACCGCGGACCTAGAGGTGATTCTGGAGGCTGTTCCGGCACGCAGGCAAACGTTGCTGTTTAGCGCCACGCTGACCGATACGCTGAATGAGCTGAAGAGCCTGGCAGCGAACAGACCTTTCTTCTGGGAGGCTGTGTCCGAGTAAGTCCTCATCCGCTCTGCCCTGCCTCCAAGCTGTTTCCCCTCCCTTATCTTGTCTCCTTATTGTCTTTCACCTCCCTCATTCCATCTTCTCTTGCCAAAGTGGTGTTTCCTGGTGCTTTGCCTTCCCCTCCTGACAGGGTGCGGACAGTGGACGAGTTGGACCAACGCTACTTGCTTGTACCCGAAGCAGTCAAGGATGCGTACCTTGTCCATTTAGTCCAGACCTTCCAGGACGAGCATGAAGACTGGTCTATTATCATCTTCACTAAAACCTGCAAGTGAGTGACATCCTTCCTCCTGATCGCTCTTAATGCAGACGTGCCTTTATGTTTCTAGTTCAGATTCCAAATTCTAGGTGTTGGGCTGGGGTGGTATTTGCTTCCTTAGTTTACTGTGAAATTTGGTCGAGGAACACCTTTTCTGGGAGCAATCCCGGGGGTGTGGGGTTGGCGTCCCATTCCTTGCCTCTGTCGGAATGCTTCTGTAACTGACTGTGCTGTGGTGGTTGTGGTGTGAGGACTTCTCCAGGAACCCCAGCTCTGTCCTGATCTATCACCTTTAATGTCCCTGTTACATTCTGATTTTTTTTATTATTTTTTCTCTTCTAGGGACTGCCAGGTCTTGAACATGATACTCAGGAAATACAACTTCCCTTCTATAGCTCTGCATTCCATGATGAAACAGGTGAGTGACGGGAGAGATGGATACTTCCAGCTGCATCCCTGAGCCAGATGTGTGTCCTAGTCCTGTGGATCACAGCATCCCTCAGACAGACTTTTCTCTTTACAGCGGCAACGATTTGCAGCTTTAGCAAAGTTCAAGTCCAGCATCTTTAAGATTCTCATTGCCACTGATGTTGCTGCCAGGTAAGAGAAAAATGCAGTCTCTGTTGCCAGAGGTGTTAAGCCTGCTTTTTAAGCACCAGAACTACCATGGAGATTAGGCTGGGTTTAAATTCCCCCTGCTTGGGAAGGAGTGGGTTGTTTGCTTCCAATGTAGAACATCTCTGAGCTGAGTTTTGGAGCCCAGTTGTGTGGGATGTAGCTCTCATCCCGGCTCGTTTTGCTGCAGCAGGGGCGGGTGTGTTCTAGCAGGGGAATGATTTCTATTTCTTAGTGTGTTCTCTGGGTCTAGGAGGGAACGGCAGGCTGCAAGGTGACGTTGTATTTCGTGACTGGAGAGTTGCACGAGGAGAGGGTTTGTCCTAGAATCAGCCCAATCCAATAAAGACTATATTCATGAGAATATGGGGCTCTTGATAAAGCAGAGGATGGGAAGTTAAACTGCATGTATCAAAACAGTGTTTCTCAACTACTCTGTCCCTGCTTTGCAGAGGTTTGGACATTCCTACAGTACAAGTTGTCATCAATCACAACACTCCCGGCCTGCCGAAAATCTACATTCACCGGGTTGGCCGGACAGCCCGTGCAGGTAAGCAGGGAAAACCGGGTGCCGTTTGCGGCAGGGCAGTGCTGCGGCTGGCTAAAACTGGGATCCCAGTGCTGGTGTGATCCCTGAACGGGTGCGAGGAGGCTTCGCAGCAGCTGCAGCGCAGTCCTTTTAGTCAGCGCCAGATCTGCTAAAGCCAGGTCGCTGGCTCGGCATCCTGCCTTCAGATCGCAACGATGGCTCACCCCGACCGGTGCCTGATCTGCACCAGTAGTTAACTGAAATTTCAGAGGAAATAAAGACCCCTCTGAGCACCCCATCACTGTGATGTGCTAGGCTGTCTCATGGGGACGGATGGAATTTGGCATGGGTTAGGCTTCATCTCCCTCTGCTTGTCACAATTCGTATATCACTTGTGTTTTCATCACCCAGGTCGGAAAGGAATAGCTATTACACTGGTGACGCAGTATGACATCCATCTTGTACATGCTATTGAGGAGGAAATCAGTAAGTGGAGCACCATTAATGCTGCTAAAATGTAGGACTACGTCTGTTCCTTTGTGTTTGTGGTACTCAGCCCTGATTTCATCAGTGGAGGGTGTATGATCCAGAACATCAGTGTAAAGTGGTTTCTCTCCCCTGTGTGGCTAAGGCTTGGAAAAGAGCAGGAGCGCTTGAATCTCCATCAGCTTTGATTCTGCTCTTGAGTGTGCCAGGCGTGAAGGTGTTTGTCTTCCATTTCTAGTGGGGGAGAAACAGTGTGCTGAACTTTCTCTAACATTTTTATTAAAGCAGCCAGCTTCTTCCTTACTTCCTTGCTACTGTGTATGCTGAAGTGGACAAAAAGAACAGGTTGCTTTGCGTAGGTTCAGACTTTGTTGTTGTTGTTGTTGTTACGAAGTAGACCTAATTAATGCAACATCTTGTGCTACAGGGAATTGTAGGCGGAGGGGAGGATTTAATCCTTTGTTGTAGGCTTTGTTTTGTAACCAGCCGTGGCCTGTAAACGTCTCACCCTGATTTAGAACTGAAGCTGCAGGAGTTCTCTGTGGAGGAGCAGTTTGTGCTTGACATCCTCACCCAAGTGAACGTCACCAGGAGGGAGTGTGAAATAGTAAGTGTGCAAACACGGAACCCCTTTGTTCGGAGGATTGGAGATCTTGGGCAGCTGGGTGTAACCAGGAGATGCGTTGCAGTTTAATGTGCAGCTCTGGTTATGCAGCTTTGCTCTTGAGCACATAAATAAGACTTTTTCTTCCCTTTTCTAGTGGAAGGACTTGGATGTGTGTGTGTGTGGAGGGTTTAGTTATCTTCCAAGGTTTGGTCTGTTATTGCATGTTTTTGCAGCATTTTTATGCTGCTGAGTGTTGAGGTTGGTGCTTTGGGGGGAAGGCTACCAAATGTGTGCATGCTGGTGGGGTTCTGCTGTACTGCTTTTCTCTGGGTCAGCCTTGGTGCTTGGTTACCGATTGTCCTGCTATGTTTTTGCTTTTACAGGAACTGGAGGGAATGGATTTTGATGAGAAGAAAGAAATAAATAAGCGGAAACAAATGATCCTTGAAGGGAAGGTGAGAGTTGCCGCTGTATAAACTATACTTTGATCAGTAGCTGGTGTAATGCCGTCAGTGTGGAAAAAGAATGACAGTTCCTCCCTCACTGCTGCGGTGTGTGTCTGTCTTGCTCCCCTTCAGGGTGGTTACGTTTTATCTGAAAGGATGACTGATTAAAAAGCATGTTGGAGTAGAGTCTGACTTTTGCAGCCTACTTGGTCACGGGCTAGAAAGCAGCGTGGGCATCTAGGAAAGGCAAAGGGGTTGGCATGTCACCAGTGTCCTGGCATTTGCCATTGCAGGATCCAGATCTGGAGGCAAAAAGGAAGGCAGAGCTAGCCAAGATCAAGAAGAAAAACAAGCAATGTCGTGAGAAGATCCAGCAGACACTGCAGAACAGAAAGCAACTGCAGCTGAAGAGGAAACTGCAGAAGAAGATGGAGCGGCGGAACAAACTGCACGTTAAGGAGGAGAAATAACATCCTTTGGCCTGACTCTCTTGGCTCGGACTGCCCTGACACTGCTGCTGCTTTGGGAATACTGGGATCTAAGGCGTTTTAATGCGGACACTGCTGACCTACGTCAGTGTGGGAGAGTAGAGGAAGGGGAGTGAGAAGGGACGCTTTGATAAACTGTCTCTGTTACTTTTCCTTCCTGCACAGTGCTACTGGCTTGGGCCGTTCCTGGCAGGCTGGATCGGTCTCCTGGAAGAATGTCCTTCAAGAGCGGGTTTCCTTCCTCCAGCAAAGGAGAGGCCAGACCTGAATTCTTGGTGATGTGGAGAGAAATAAAGATCCTCTCTCTCTTCCTTCTTTCCCTTTCAAGGGCTGGTGTTTGCCACTCACACTTGTTTGTATTGACAGATTCTCCCCTGAGCCAGAATCGAAAAATACTGTGACCAAATGAGCTCAGCCCCTATCCGTGACGTAGCTCAGAGTTTTCAGAGAGGAAAAATTCCTGGAACAAGTGGGGAGTTTGTATTGTGTGGTTGGTCCTGGGGTCTTCTTGGAATAATTCCGCTTCATACATTTAAGTGATGTTCTTGCCTTGGCTCAGACTCCAGGCCTGGGCTGCTACCCGTTGCAATAGCAGTCATGGTTTGGAGACTGGGGCTGCTGGGGACTCTGGTTTCCCAGCTGATCAGTAAGTTGAAAGACCATTTCTGGCACAGAACAGCTCCAGGAGTAGCATTGCCTTGTTTCTTGTACCATCCAAGTGAGTGGATTATATCTGGGTCTGTTCTGTAGGTTTCTGGGCCTCCCTATGTAGCTTTGCATTGTGTATGTTTGGAATAGGAGGCTGGTTAGGCTGGAGGGGGCTGAGCTTTCCTAAGAAACAATTGTGTTTCCCTATGGAGCTTAAAATCCCAAAGTAACTGAGGCCAGAGTTTGGGCAGCTCCATTCAGATGTCAGGTCTGATCCTCAGTGCCTTCTCTAATGGTCAGAGCTTTCTATGACTTGAGACTGAAGATCTGTTACTTCTGTCCTCTGGCTTACAAAAAATAGTTTCTATGGTCAGTGCCAAATAAAATATTTATTGCAACAAGTGACTGGATGTTTGACCTTCTCCAGCATAGGGGGGGAGTTGTGGGATTTTAGGGGCAGGAAGCAGAATGTGTGTAGGTAAACAGCTTGGAGGTGAAATCAGTTTTATTTCAAGAGATGACTTGGATAAAGCTTGAGCTTCTTGTGGGTGTTCTATTCCTCAGTCCCCTCATCAGGAGCGCAGCTCCTTTCCTGGGAGCAGGCAGTCCCTGCGGTGCCTTTGCCTGACTCAAGCATGGTCTGTGCACAGTGAGGTCTGGCAGAGAAAAGCTGGTGTTTCCCTTGGGAAACTCCTGGTGCCTCCGGGCCGTGCAGCAGTGCAGCGCTGTTGGGAGGTGCGGGTCCATCTGCTGCCTGGTGTGAGATGGGAGCAGTACCAGCTCCAAGATACCTGAATGTCTTCCTCCTTGCTTCGTCCTCTTGGGTGCCCTCCAGGAAGGAAAAAACACTCAATAGCCTGCCTTGTGGCACAGCTCGCTGTCACCCGTGGCAGCTGCTGCAGCACCAGCAAATATGTTTGTATCAGATCAATGCTTTCTGAATACTAAATGCTTCTACAGCCTTGTGCATGCTAATTTGTGGAGCAAGCGTGTTAGCTGTAGATTAAAAAGACGTCCTCTCTGGGACAGGCTGTTCCTGCCTTCCTGGGGAGGGTGCTGATCCTGCCTTTGAGTGTCAGTTGTTCCCCTCCCTCTCGCAGACACTTCTTAACCTGCTGTCTGAAGTCTCTTTGCTTCAGCCTGGTGGGGGTTTCACTGTTTGTCTCCTTCCACGTGTGACGTGGGGTTTGATCAAGGCTCTTGTCTTGAAGCTTTATTTAAAATTCCTTTTAATACATCCCTTGTCTGTCTTGAGCAGCCTTCTCTGTGAGGGTAGGACACGTGCTGGAAATAAGAGCTCTCTGTAGCGCTGACGAGATGTTCTTGTTTCAGATAATCAGTTTTGGGAGTGGCCGAGTAGAAAAAGAGGTTGCTGTGCTAGTTGGGATGTAGAAAGATGCCTTAAAGTCCCAGATTAGGAATTTACATCTTGCCCAGGGCCAAAGGACATTGGGTGATGTTTCTGTACGTTCTGTCAGTACTGCCTCCAAAGTAGGATATTCCATTCTGGGGTTTCTAAGCATTGTCATAAGCCTTTGGGATCCCCTAGGAATATAAGGACTTCCTTCTCCTCACAGCCTAGATTGCGTCTTGGCTGTAAACCCACACCCCTCTGCGTGCAGCTCTGCCTGCCAGCCCCCAGGCAGGCGCTCGCACACTTCCCTGTCTGTGCTGTGCAAGAACTGGCCAGAACACGGCTGCCTTTTTATGTCCCGCTGTGTCCCAGCACGCCCATCGCCTCTCGCCGTGTGCCTTCCACGTGCGCTGTTCGCTCCCCCCCTTCAGCCCAAGCTCCCCAGCCCAGAGGGGGGGTCCCTGTCTGGGTTGCCATGGAAACTCTTCTCAATTCAGCATCTCAGATTGCCGACTCTTCTCTCGCCCGCACCGTGTGCAGCTGCTGAACACCACGCTGGCACGATGGCTGTGCTGGGGTGTGCAGGAGGGGATGTTCCCACACCCGTGCCAGCCCTCCTCATCCTCCCATCTCCTCTGGGTGTGAAACCATCACCCAGCCTTGCTGGGGCTCTGCGAGCATGGGCTCCTCTGCCTCCCGCCTTGCACGGCAATTCTGTCTGCCCTTTACAGTGATGGGTCTGTAGGCACGTGCCAAGCCTGGCTGTTTTGTGTGTGTTTAAGGAAATATTTGTCTGTTCCTGGAGGGTTTTCCATCATTCCTGCCCCTCATAGGGAGGAACAGACATCTGAGGAGTGCTTCCCAGAAGTTTTGCAGGGAGAAGGGAGAGGCTGGGATCCTCCTAGGTGAGATATACAGTATTTGATAAATCCTCCCTACTGGCAGTTGTGCTGAGCAAGGAAATGTGGAAGTGGGGACAGGTTTGGTAACACAGCAGTCGCCTTCAGGAGCTGGCATCCCCTTCACCTACGGATGCTGTATCAGGCAGGAAAGCTCTGGATCTCTATGGTGAAGAAAAGGCAGCTGCAATTAAATAGTCTGGGGTAATCTTTGGGCCAGGTTTTTTGAATTCTCTCTGCTGAGACAGTAGCGCTGCATTGGAGCTCGCGTTCCAGCTCTGCCGGCTGTGGGTGCAGGCATTTTCAGCTCTCCCCTCGCAGGGGCTGCGCTGGGTGTGCACACACCATCTCTGTGTGCGTTTAACACGGCCGTACCTGGCTCCGTGTGTGTCCTTCACGCTGTCCGAATCTCACTGGTCCAGCCTGCATTGTGTCAGCTGCTGGATCCTCTTTGCAAACACACACTCAGCTGATTTGAAAGCTTTAAAAAGCTGCCTAAAAAGCTTTTCTACCAAGAATGGCCTTTTCCCCTCCAAGCCCTTCCCCGGGGGCAGCTCGGGGGGGTGGGGGGCCCCCCAGGTTCGCCGGTAGATGGCAGGTGGTGTGCTCTGGACACCCTCGCTGCGGGCTCTGGTCCTGGCTCAGAGCGAAATACAGCACCGGACTTCTTGGCGGGGCAGCTGGAGAGTAAAGATTCAGCTTGAGAAAGCAGGGAGATGGGGAGGAGGGGGGGGACAGGGCTGCCTGGCCCCAAGCCTTGCCCGTGCAGCAGTCAGGCCCCAGCTGGGTGCTGCTGCTGGCGGGATCCTCCGGGGTCAGTGCCTCAAGCCTCAGCATCTTCCCTCTCCTTGCAGGGCAGGGCTGATCCTGAACCCTGCACTGCTCCTTCGTAGTTGTGGCTGCTTCTCCCTTCCAGGGCTCTCCTCCCAACTCCACTCCTTGCAGTTTCTTTGTTGAACTTTCACCTTCCCTGCCAGTTTTTGCTGATTAAACTCCTCGTCCATGGCACACCCTCATTCAAGGCTTGACTGCAGCTGCCCGGACACGTGTCTTCACTCTGGGTATGGCATGCTTGACACTGTAACTCCCCTAGCTCCTCCCTGCCAGCATCAGGACTCCAAAAATGGGACAGAGGGAAGGAATACCTGGAATATTTTTTTTCTTCTGTACTAAGAAAGCCTCCCTGCTGGCTCTGTTTAATTCATACCCATCTCTCACTCCCTGCAGCAGCTCTGTCTCCTGGGAATGCATCTCTGCATGACTTGCTCTGGATTCCTGTCACCTCTGGGAGGGAGAGCAGTTGTCAAGGAGCAGAAGACTCTGCTCCGGCCTTGCAAAGCAAGGCTCTGAGCACAGCACTAGCCTGTTGCAGCGGCTCATCCCCACTCCATCTCCGCTCGGTACCTCCCAGTACCATTCTTGAATTCCCAAGCCCAAACATCGTAAGCCGTGCTTGCTCCCATGTTGAGGCCACAGGAGAGGTGACACTCACGCCACCAATCTCTAGGCTCAGACACCATTTTCATCTACCCATAACAAGGTCTGGACATTAATATCTCCAGCCAGTAAGGCTAGAGTGAAATGTTTTCCATCTGTTGCCTGCTGGGATTTGAAACCCTGTTAGCCCAGCATCAGTGGAAACAGAAGGCAGAGACTATATACAGCATGCTCTGCCAGTTGTTGTTCTAGCAGCCCTTGGGAAAAATAAGCTAGCAACAGGGTGAGGAGACAGTGCTGAGGCAGAGAGGCTGCCGCCTTCCCCCCAGAGCACAGTGTCACACATGTGCAGGCTGGGGTGCTTGAGAAAGGGGTGACGATTCGTGTTTGTGGCAGCCTATGTGAGTCCCAGGGAACTACAAAGGGGACGTATTCCCTGGAGAGCCCTTCCCTGCACCGTGGGGACAGAGGTGGCACCAGCCTCCTGCCCCTTTTCACCTCGCAGCCTCCTACAGCTGGAGTCGACGGTGTTATCCGAGGAAAGGGAATCTGGTACCATCAATTCGCACTTCCCAGGCTCGTGCTCAGCAGAGCCCAGGGAGCTGAGGGGATGCAAACGGTGCTTCAGCTGTGCGCTGACTGGAGCGTGCAAGTGTTGCTCCTTCACATTTACCTGTTGCTGGAGCTGCCACATCTCTTGTGTCTGAAGTGTCACTTGCTCTTACCACAAGTGTCTCATTTCCAGCATTATTCCAGCTGCTGCTTTTTTGGTAGGGTGGAGGAAAGCCGATGGAAGAGGTAGGACCTTGTGCAGAGATGATTAGTGCTGTAGCTCATGTTCTTTTCCCTGGGAGCACAAACTGCCTTTACACACCACAATCTAATAACGGTAATAATTATAAATTACTCTGGGAAAGGGGACTGTGAACCTCACTGGGGTTTTGGGGCTTTATTATGCGTTCACGGCCATTTTCCAAAACACACGTTTAATTGCCTTCTCTGGTGCACACGGAAATTGTCTTCCAGTGTGTGCATGTGTGTGTGGGGGGGTGTTACACTCGCAGAGTACGCTTGCCTGTGCTGTCAACTGTAAACAGACCATTTCTGAACTAAAAATAACCTATCCTCTGAGTAACGGAGCAGCTGATCTCTGCAGCCCAGATGCAGGAGCTCAAAAGGGTTAGGTCACCTATTTTTCATTAACGGTGCTATTTAATTACAAATTCCCCCAAGTTTGATCCTTTGGAGATTTAAAACAAAGTGCCTAGCTGCTTCCCCTCCACCAAAAACTTGCTTCAGTGTGTTCTCACAAAAAATACAGATATCAAAGAGATTCTGTTAAGTCACTTTGATGTGAGGTTGCCTAACAACACAGCACACATTACCAGGGGGCTCTGCAGCAGCTTTTTGGGAAGAGAAAGATTTTTACCTCTTGTTCAAAATCACTCAACGGACTTAAGATATTAACCAGTCTGGCCTACGCTAGCCTTTTCTTCTCTTGGCTCTCCAGGCACCTTGTAGATGCGAGTAATTGAAGTGCAACAGTCCTTCAGGGAGGGTAATTATCTACTTTGTGAAAGAGGAGGAATCAAAGCCCAGAGAGGCGAGGGAGTTTGCAGAGCAAGGCAGTGGCAGAGCTGTTGGTGGTCTGCCACTCCGACTGCCAGGTCAGCTCTAGGTCTGGACTGGATTTACATTCCTCTTCAGCCTGGAAGGCCTGCATTGGCATGTCAGATGGAGTTTGCATTAGACACATCCTTTTTTCTGAGGCTCTATTATTGGCACGTCCTGTAATAGCAAAGCTCCATTTCCTCTTGCTGAGCTGGTCAGAAGGACCTTGTCTCAGGTCTGCACTCAGAGCAGAGAATCACACCTTGCTGCTCTTCATCACAACGGCGTGCAAAGAGGGGAAGGTTGGAAGACTTTTTTATTTGTTTGTCCTGATCTCACACGTAAACCGTTTTCCCCATCTTCCCTTTACTAATGTTCTGTCTGGGTTTTCTATGAATAATTAAGATCCTCATTTACCAAAAGAATTAGGTCTCTCGAGGTACCTGCAATCAGTAGCATTTCTCCTGCGGTAAGGAAGCCACTGTTAGTTGCTGACAGTAATTGTTATTGCGAGACAGAAGCAAACATAACACTGCAGCCTTGCCCTTCATACCTGGCTTTTGTAACACAAGATTTTCCGCTTTTGAAGCAAGAGAAGCGTAAACAGGGAAGGGGCGAGGGTTGGAAGGTGCATGGTGGGGATGTGTTATTAGGGTGCTGCTGTTCTGAAACACAATTGAAATCCTTTTTAAATGCTCAGTAGAGTAGGGCAGATGGAATTAGTGCTTTGCTGCCGTACTGTCTACAGTGGGGTTGTCTCATTGCTAACCACAGATTTAGGGCATTTGTGGAAATAGCTGGTGATGAATGGGTTTTCATTAGTTTAGAAAAGGGGAAGACTGCAACGGAAAGTGCCACCCAGAACCATCCATCACACTGCCCTGCGATGCCTCAATAAAAGACTTTTAACAAATGCTGAGCACAGGACAGATCTCATCAAAAAGCCACTATTCAGATTATTCTGGCAAGGAAAAGAATTGCAGCTAGCACCCGTGGGGAAGAGTGCAAAGGAAAATGGCCTCTGTTCCTGGTTCCTGACTACGGGAGAGCAAAGGAGCACAGCCAGGACTGTGAGTGGCTGAGAGCGATGCACAGCAAATGCATAGAAAGTACCGCTGGCCTCAAGGCAGGCTGTGTGCAGGGAAACAGCATCCAGCATCCCACCAGGGACACGGCAGCTCCAATGGCGAAGTTTGCAGACGTGGACAGAGCTGCTTGTTTGCAATGAACAGGCTGCTTGAGACGTTTAGCGAAGGGGGCCTCTTTGTTCCTACTGCAGCAGTGCTGATTTCACAAGGGCTGAGCAGAGGAATTTGCACTTAACGATATGACGGGGTGTAATACCTCCCCCACTAGAGAGACACGACTTCCCAGGGGTCACACCTCCCCAGGATATTGGATATTGAGCTGCTGAGTCGTGACAGGAGACACTATTTCCGATCCCTGCGTGACCAGTGCATAGCACCCCTTCCTGTTGGTACCCAAATACCTTATCCACAGTCTGAGCCTGGCAGCACTCTCAACGCCGATTTTACACACCATAACGATGGGAGACCTGGGGGCTAGGACTGCTTCCACAGGCACCTTGCGCACAGTCGCACCTGGGCTTTGGTTTCATACGGGACACCGAGGATAAGCAGCAGCCTAAAAGTTGTGGTTTTTCATAGCACTGTGGGGTTTTTTTCTTGGTATTTTTTAAACAGAGTCTGGCCCTGGCTGCCTCTCCCCCACTCAGAGCTGAGTCCTGCTGGGATGTGCAGCAGCTTGACTCAGGTCCTGCCTCTCACGTCTTGGGACAGGTCCGAGCGTGGCCTCCTTGGGGAGGGATGACTCGCCCAGGCGTGGCACATGCTGGTCTGGCCAGCCCCATCACACAGGCACTGGCCAAGAGGCAGGGCTATGAAACGGTCACTGCCAGAATTTAAGGATCCATACCCAGCTCCTCCTTGTGGGTCGCAGCCCAGAAGAGAAGTGTGAGAGAGGAGGAGGAGGAGGAGGAGTACAGAACATAAGAAACTTTGGCTCAACTTTCTTCCACACTCCCAATCCCACCCTCCTCCCTCCATATTAGAGTGACGGAGATGCAAACCAAACACACCTTTCTTGGAGCTGATCTCTATTTCAAAAGAAGGCTGCTCCTGTAGGAATAGAATATGAACATTGGCATGAGGTGGTAAACAAGTCCCTAGAAATATTTGCCACCCAGTTACTTCCTTCCCTTCTTAAACTCCCTGAAACAAATATTACTACAGTAGCTCCAGCCTCATACAGTTGTGAGAACACTTCATGCAAGGGAAAAAAAAAAAAAAAAAAAAAAGGGAAGTAAAAACAAACAAACCCCCAAAAAACCCCAACCCCAAAACAGAAAAACCTTCCCATGGCAATGCAGGTCTGGAAATCTCAATGTTTCCTCATCACTCCTGGCAGAGGGAAGGGCTTTGCCTAGACACAATCCAGCACAGAGTCACCAGCAGTTCTCCACTCCAGCAGATACCCAAGGTGCCAGACCTAATCCTGCCCTGACTTGCAGGCAGCGCGTGGAAGCTGTGGGTTCCTCTCATGGTCACCAGGCGAGTGAAAGGAGAGGCAGGCTCCGAGGAGCCGCACCGCCATCCCACAGGTCTGCCGAGGTTCGGCTGGGTGCGGAGAGGGCAGCACTTGGCAGCCAGGGCTTGCTAAGTACCGGAGTTTCTGCAGACCTGCGAAACATTCCCAGGATTACTGCTGTCTTTGCCTAACTTATAGCAGCAAAGAGGGCACAAAACCAACAACAAAATCCAAATCCATCAACACTCCTGTAAGGTTACTAACTACTTCTACACAGACACTGCTTCATCATTCAGCACAGGGCTAAGCATGCTCCTAGGTAACTACGGGGGCGCAGCGGGTGCCGTGGGGGACACGCACACAACTTTCCAGGTTTCTGTGGTGCCTCCCTCGGGCCTTGCTCAATTCCTATTACTAGACAACATCTACGTTAACTCACAAGCTTCCCACAGACCCTGCAGGGCACCGGTCTCAGCATGCTCTGAACGCCTCCTGTTCCCGTTTCATCTGGCCAAGCGTGGCAAGCTGGGACCTGTACCCTTCACAAGGAATACTGCACGGCTGACACTGAGCAGGACATCTCTGTGGACTGTTTCCCAATTAAAAAAAAAAAAAAAAGAGAACAAAAGAAACCAAGAGCAACTGCGATTTGCTCCATTTAATTTCAATTAACTGCAGCCCTTAGAGGCCAGGAGAGATGCCAATCTGGCAGTTTGTTGGCCATCCTCTCGGGGATGTCCCATTTCTCAAGTGCCCCTTTCTCAACCAAGCCTCTGCTCTTCTCAGCTTAAAGTTTTAACAAGTCATCAAATCCCACTGTGTTAAACTAATAAGAGCTTTAAAACCTGCAGTTCTTTTTCCTCTGGGGGGTGTGACTGAACAGTGGAAAGGACACACGAGCAGGCAAGCGTCCTTCTCTGCAGTGGGGACATTGCTACCTCTGGAAGCTCCTGACAGTGACCAGTGTTACCAGATCCTGTCAGAAAGACACGATGTAGTTAGGGCTGGGGAAGAGAAGGAGCAACTGTTGTCCTCAGTGTGCTAGAACTTCTCCCTCCCTCCCTCCCTCGGTGGGGAATCAGGCAGCTTATTTGCAAAAGGCAAGTGGTTTCCTAAAAAACTACTGAAAAAAACCGCGAAGGCTGCTCAGCCCCTTCCCCTAGAAAATTGTAAAAACGTGGGAGACACAGTGTGGCAGCAGGGAGGCTGGGAAGGCAGCACGGGGACAGCTGCTGTCTCTGGACTGTGCTACAGCCATGGCAGGGTCCAGAGAGGTCTGGCTGTGACTCGTAGATGCTCCCTGTAGAGGATTCAGGAGCTCAGGTCCTCTCTGCCCGCTGTCTGGGTGTTCAGTGGGCAGTAAGTGGCTGCGGCTGGTCTCCACACTGTCCAGGCAGCTGCTGGTATGTTGGCGTATCCTGCCCGAACAGACCTCGAGGCTGTTCTGTGACCGTAATTGCTGTCAGTGACCAGTCCCAGCTGGGGTTCCCCTCCTCCGGAGGTGTCTCCTCTGAGCATGCTGCTGCTCAGTTGCTCTCTACCAGCTTGGCTAGTCCCTGCCGGATCTCACTGAGCTCAAATATCTTCACATCCATTATCTCTGCCACCTTGGTGACCTCATTCTGGATCTTCTCCCTCTCGGCTAGGGTCTCTGCCAGCGTCTGCTCAGCCAGGTGAAGACGCCGCTCCAGCTCTGCGTTGCGTGTTTCCAGCTCCTGCCAAAGAACACAGATGCTGCCCCAGCACTGATACACGCTGCTCACAGACCCACCCCCCTTATCTTCACAAAACAGCCCTGCTAGCAGCCCAGCGCTGGGGTACCCACACCCAGCCAGCCCAGGTCTCCATCAGTTCTTTCACCGAGGGATGTCCCTATCTTGAGCCACAGCACCCTGGCACGCACACGCACGTGCGCACGTGTTCCCCTGACCCAGGCATCTGCCCACAGTTTGCAAAGGTGCTACAAATGCAGATCTCCTCACGTGCCTATCATCTCCAGGTCTGATGGCATTTGATGTTCAGAGACGTTACTCTGCCATGAAAGGCAGTGCCTGTGTATGGGGGTGAGTCCTACAGCAGATCCCCTCGTTCAGAAGCTCGGAGGTAAACACAGGCAGGCAGTGCCCCCAGAGACTGCACGACAGACCGTGCTTCCATCTGTGTCCTTGCCCTGAGGTGCAGCACAGCTTGCATCCCTCCTGCCAGCCAGCCAGCGTCAGAGCTCTGCTCCCCAGCCATCCCTGGCCAGCCAGCCAAGCAGGACTTCCAAGGGATGGAGGGTCATGGGCCATCACAGGTTCCTGCTCCAGTCCCAAGTCAGGGGCTACTGCCAGTGCTAGAGCAGAGTACATGAAGGCTGGGCTTGCTATTGCCTGCTGACCGTGCCCCATGTCATAGCTCAGAGATGCAGGGAGGGCGGAAGAAGGCAGAGACATAGGCAGGGACCTGTTCCCATCATCCAGAGGCAGAGATAGGCATCGCAGCTCTGTGGCATTCACTCTTTGGCTCAAAGGAGAAATGGGGATGGATCTCTCTGAGTGCAGAGGTGTCCCAGATCTACCATCCTTACCTGCAGCTTCTGCAGTGTCTCCTCACGCTCACCCTCTGCTTCCCATCGGCCACACTTCTGGCTTTTTAGCATCTGAATCTCCTAAAACACAAGGAGGAAGAGCATCATGTCAGATCCACCCCTGTCCCGGTGGGGCTAGCTCCCACCACATACCCCAACCAAGGCTCCTTCCCTCACTCTGAGGATCACATAACCACACTCAGCTCCAATTTTTAATATCTCCCTTTCTAACTCTCTACTTCTGGTGTACCTGCCGCCTCCCTCTAAGCCCCTAGTCCCTAATCAAGATGACCAGTGGAGTGCCAGCAAGGTTCAGTGGTTTCTGCACCCTGCTGCATCCTTGGTTGAGATCCTGGGTTCTTGGGGCCAGGGTTGGGTGAAAGCCTCTGCATACCCTCGCCTCAGCAGGTCTGGGGAGGGGGGGAGAGATCTCCTCTCACTAAGGATCAGGAACCCCAAAACACCTCCCCCTTCCCAATCCTTGCTTTGTGGCGCCAACCCTAAGGCTCTGTCCACCTACTCTGCTGAAGCACAGCCACCAGAGAGCCTGCAGATGTGTGAATCAGAGAGATTCTCTCCACATCTCCCCTCCTTCACAGCCTCTGTGATGAAAACTCTGCTTTAAATCATTCATTTAAATGCAGTGAAAGGGAGAAGCAATTCCTACACTAGAGGCTAACCACAGCTGCGGATGGCTGAGAGGAGAAGGGGTCAGACACAGCCCTGCCGTTTGCGCAGTGGCTGAGATTCTCCGCTCAAGGCTATTTGCATGGCAAACTCCCAGCACGTTATTCTGTCAGCTTTGCTTCTCTGGGTGGGAGACCACTGAGGGGGCTGCGCCAGCTTACAGAGGCTCCTGGCTTGCGTAGGCAGCACATGCAACAGCACGAGGTACCCTCTGATCTCATACAAGCTGTAATGACACACCGGGTGCTGGTGACTGACAGGCCACCCAGCTTCAGGCTTTGCTTCATGGGGTATTACCTCGTCTTTAGCCTTGATCAGTAGTTCCAGCTCCTCCAGGGTTTGGCTCAGCTCTTCCTTGTTGTTCTCGCTGGAGGAATCATGAGCCCCCTGTGACTCCAGTTCTGCTACCTACATGGAAGCAAGCACAGGGAAGGCGTGCTCAGAGATACAGGAATGTCCTGACATCTCATCACCCACAGTCATTCTCCGTCATGTTTTGGCTTCCTTGCAAACCCAACTGGGCTTACAACAGGATAGCAGCTCCCGCCCTGGGGCTGTTAGGAAATAATTCTCTCCTCCTGCTCTGCCTAGATCACACATAGAAACACACTGTGGTGAAACCTGGTCTAGAGACTCTGTGTCTGTTTTCTCCTGCAGTCTTGCACTTCCAGCAAAGCTCGACTGGCTGACATCAAGCACACGAGCCTACAATCCAAAGCGATCGCTAGATCCAGCTCCCTTTGCACCCCTGGGCAGAGACTGCCGAGCGCGAGGGAGTACAGCTCAACCACAGCAGAGCTCGGGGGAAGAGTTTGCACAAGTGTACTCCCCATTCCTGAAAGATTCAGCCCAGTGCCTTAGATTATTCATGAAAATGATTCATTTTTAAAGGCTCGTTAGAAGGTAGGCAGCAGCTATTGCTGGGGCCCAAGCTCTCACAAGGCCTGCACTGAGCTCTACAGGAGCAGCTCGTGATGGGTACTCTCACGTAGACGGGGCTTGGACCCTGGTGCGACACTTTTCCACGAGCAGGGGCAGCAGGGCAACACCACCTGGATTGGGGTCCACGTAAACAGTAGTTGGGAGCTGTCAGGCTCAGGGGTCACAGCCAGAATCAACCAGCTCTGGTCCCAAAACGCTCTGGTTTAGGGACAATAATCTAGACATTTCACCGAGTAACAGGTTCTTCTGCGATTCTGCAGAAGTCCCCAGTGGTTGCCCTTCACCCACAGCTCACAAAATCCTCACTCCTATCTCCTGGCTGTGAGAACAGCCACCAAACAGCTGAGTAAGCACAGAGCAATGGCAGGGAAACGACAGCCTGTCCCAGCCAGCCTAAAACCACACATCTACATACGTACAACCAAGATCTCTGCTATACCTAGGGCAGCCTCCTACTGCGGAGGAGAAATTTGTTCCGTGCAGCTCTTTTACTGTCTGACTCCAGCACGAAGAATTAGCATGGGCACAGTGAATCCTGGGGGACAGCTGTTTGCTGCACAGACCGGCCACACAACAGCCATCAAGTGGAAACAGCCGTTAATTGCTCTAATCCCCTGCTGTCTTTTGAATGAGCTATCTCGAAGTGAAATGGCTTTATATGCTGCCTGCTCCAGGGCTCCAGAGTCCCTTCCCAGCCAAACGTCAGCTGTCCTAAAACCTTTCCCAAGTACTCCGCAGTTCTTCTCTCCCAACATACCCAACCGTGTGACTATCACTCCTCTGCCCAGATGCACACAGGCCTCCTCAGTTGATCTGTGACATTTCTGACATTACATAGGTCAAAAGATCCTATTATTCCAACCGAACAAGGGCTTGTTTGTACTGTGCCACCCGGGTTTCATGATGTTGCAGCTTGGATTCAAGCTAATTATAGCAGATAAAGCAATCTTCATCCTTCCTGTCAGCAGCCAGAAGATTGCCCTGATGCCCAGCTTGGTGGGGGGAAGCATGGGCCTTACTCAGTATTGCTGGCAGCTGGGAACTGCCCCCAGAAAATCTGAAGGGAAGCTGGTATTCTTTGACTTTGTGCTCTGGTTTCCTCCCTTTATCCACAGGGACTCGGCACACCCCCAACTTGCTCTGCAGAAAACAGGAGCTCTTGTGAGAGTTCCCCAGTTACATGGCCTTATTCCCTGACATGTTTTCCCTGCCAGGCTCATGCAGCATCCTGGATTTCCATCCCATCTCCTGCTGACACCCATGGAAACTGACAGGAGAATGGGGTCAAGGGCACCATCTGGCTCTGGGACGGGGCTTCCTCTGACCTGCTCTGCAAGGGCCCTCCTATGCTCACCCGCTGCCGCAGCGTTTCCGTCTCCTCCTGATAAGCAGCCAGCTGCTTCTTCCACTGGTCCACGTTGGCATTGGCTTCATGGAGAGCAGCCACGAGCTTGTTGTTGTTGTCCTGGAGGCTGAAGAATTCAGCCTCCCACTGGACCTCACTCACCGAACTGTGTGAGAGAACAGGAGAAGTGTGCAAGAGAGCATAAGAGAGTCTCAGCAGGAAGGTTTCTTCCCCCAGAGCTAACATGCATTGACATCATGCTCTTGGAAATGCCGGGCAGCTCCCTGCTCCTCCACAGTTTTCTATTTGGCTTTCATATCATTTTCCAAATTTAAATGCTTCTTCCAGCCCTCAATCTGCATCTCCTTCCTTTATATCCAGATAATATTTGACTTTGAGGCCACGTGTGCTTGCTTGAAACGGCAGAAACCACAACGTGAGATTAATAGGGTGGGGGAGATACAGCTACTGTAAAGGAGTTTTGTAATGTGGGACTGTGAATCCATTTTTAAAATCCTTGTCAGATCTGAGTTTGCTTTGAATAAAACCCTACCACCCCAGACTCAGGAGAAGGTAGCAAAGGACACTTGCTTTTGATTTAAAAATATTCTAAGTGTTCAGCTGGGAGCTCAATGGGAGCCACAGGGCAGAATCCAGCCCAGAGTCTTTTGAACAGACAAAGAGCGGAAACAGCAGGGACTTTGCTGGAATCATCAGGGGAATTAACACAAATGCAGCCCTGGGCCAGCTGGAAAAGTGTGAACATCTTCTGGTATCACAAACTACTGATCTGTAGATAACTGGCATCAACTCACCCCCACTGCGGGCACAAAGCATTCTCCTTCCCACGCTGCCTGAACAGCAGATTTCACCTCCAAGCTGCAATAACTTTCTACTGGGGAAGAGGGGAAATTGGTACGGTGGAGGGTCTGAGCAGCAGCAGACATGGGGAATTACTCAGCTACCTAAAGAAGTGGCATTGGGTCAAAAACATTTGGGATGAGGCCACTCAGTTATTCAGGGGCTCTGCGAGCACTGGGATGACAGGGACACGCACCAAATCCTGCCAGAATAGACAGTTTAGGAGTCGGAAGCTGAGAGCACTTGCGGCAGCCTCACCCTTCCGAAAGCATCTTCTTCAGCCTCTCCTTCTCTGTTGTTATTTCGACGTCGGCACTTTGGCTCCGGAATAGTTTATCTTCTCCTGGCCCATTGGAGCTGATGATGGGGCTGGGAAGTACCTGGGGGATGAGGAAGAGGTGGTCACCACACAGCAGTGGAGACAGGCCGCGTGGCCACACGATCTCTGCAGACTCATTCACAGGGCTAGTTCTCAGTCCCTGAGCTCTCCTGAGAAACCCTGGCTTTTGATCCTAACTCCTAGGTAGTGTTGTGCTTGTCTACACGACAAGGGCCGCTCCTCACATATGGCGCGGCAGCACCCGTCATAGCACAGCAATGACTTTGGAAGCTATGCAGACACAGGGCTTTCTCTTGGATAGGTGGGTTAGCGCTTAGCTCTTCCAGCAGCTGCCCTGCTGCCGCGTCCTCCCTTTCCCCGTCTCCATGTCACGCTGGGGCGGCGATCCCAGCACGCAGACACCCTGAGCAGGTGGGCTCACAGCTTGCACGCACCAGCTATTCCTCCCTCCCAACTTGAGATACTGAATTCTCTGGCCCTCAACTTCCCCTTGACAAATGCCAGCGATGTTACAGCCTGTAACTCGAGTCTCACGGCTGTGCACAACACTCGAGCTGCTCAAGCTGTCCGTTTCAGGGTTTTGCTGAAATCTTAATAAGATTTTCTTGCTAGTTCTCAAAGCAATGGAAAGACTTCATAAACTCTAAGCACAGACCTGCCAGACCACCTGGGTTCAGTTGTAAGTCCAGCTTCTGTACGTTAAATGAAAACACCAGTTGCCATTGGGACCGTGTTTCTCAGGCTTAAGGGAGGGAAACTCTGCTATTGCTCAGATGACTCTGACACCCGTTTTCCAAAGGTGTGGGAGAAGAAACTCACAGCCCCTGCACCAAAGTATACCCTTCTCCACGGCTCCATATTCCTGCGCACATCAGAGCTAGCAGAGACAAACAACGCATCCTCTCAGGCTGGAGGGAACTGACAGCGGAGCAGAGATGAATATGCAGAAGCCAAAGCAGACTTTACATCCTCCGGCCCCTCCAGAAGACCCTGTCTGCACGGTCTCCTCTCCCGGCAGGGAAGAAGCTTGGCACCGACAGGGCAAACTGAGCTATAAAAAGGCTCTCTGAGCAATGAGTCTCTGGGATCCTACGTTGGGGGCTGTGAGACCAGATGGCTGGGGAGCCTGCTGGAGTTGATAGGTAGCCCTCGATGCCTGCGGTAAGGACAGCCACCTGCCTTCGGAGTCGGCTGACATCTATAAATAGAGCCAGACAGGGCCATGAGATGTACTGAACACCAGCTTCAAGAAGCCTTCCAGAGAGTGATTGAGAAGGGAGACCTGCAAAACACAACCCCGCCTCACCATTTCCACAGGGTGGGGAAACTGAGGCAGGGAAGGGGCAGAAATTTCCTGGTCTGGTGTGTTGAGTCCCTGTGAGTCCAACTGAAACCGCTAACAGTTGAAGATGCTCCACACTGGTTTGTTGCTTACATTATCCACAGCGACAAACTCTGTGATGGGGATTGGCCTAAACGGTTCTAGAGGACAGAAGAGAGCTGCTATCCTGGGATTTCCCCAGCTCCGAAAATCTGAGGCCTAAGTAAACTAGTGCAGATGCAGAAAATGAGGGAGCCCTGATTTAATTTCAGGAGACAGATCTGCTCTCTGCTCACTTGCAAACAGAAACACAATCAATTATTCAAGGACAAAGCTCATGTTTGAAGCTCTACTAATGTAGACACTGTGAATCAGCAGTGGGAGAAGGGATGATGGGCCGATGGATGTACAGGCTGGGGAAGGCAGGACAAGATCTGCATGCCCACACGGCAGGGGACACCGCGTGTGTCACTGTGTCAGCATGCTGGCTGCCAGATGGCTGCAGGCAGGGGCCGTGCATACTTGTGTCCGAGCTCTCCCACCAAGAGCAAGCGTGGGTTCCCACTGTGGCAGTTTTAGCACTGCTGAGTCAGGTAAGAAGAAGGAACAGAGCCTCAGGCCATTCCCCTGATCTGTGTTTAACCTTCACCCTCTGACCTCCTCAGCCCTTCTGCTGCAAGCTGCCATCGCAGCATAGGGGAGATGAACATGTCCTGTTGCGGCACCTGATGAGTTCTGCCCAGTGTAAATAGAACAAGAGGGAGTATCTCTACTCCCAGCCTCCATCTCCTGGCCAGGGGAGGTGGGAGACGGAGCCTGCAGCTGGCCATGAATCTCTGTCTCAGGCAATTATTACTGACCAGGGTCTTTTACCTAAAACTTTGGTTCTGCTATGAATGCTCTACTCTACTCCCTTCTTCATTTGCCACCCATTAGGATGGGGCTTAGAGTTAGCAGGAGCCAAAAGCTAGGCAGATTTCCCCCATTTTTGCACCCCACATAACATTTCCAGTCTCTGCAGAGCCACCGCCTCCACCTCCCCCTCTTTTTCCTGCAGGCCAAGGTACTGTTCACACTCCCTCCTCCTCCTCTGCTGCCACTCCATCTGTACTCAGCCCAGAGAACACAGTGTCCTCCATCCTACAGCTCCTCTCCTGCTGCCAGGAGCTCTGGGAAACACAGAGTCACCTCTGGAGTGAACTATTTGGGAGGGCACCTCCACCGTCAGGGAAAAAGCTGGGTAGAGTTCTCCACAGCTTATCCTCTCCCCTCCATCCCACCGCTGCTGGAGTTGCTTTAGCTATACAGGGAGAAAGGTAACAATTGCAAGTGCAACACTCGTGAGAATGATCTATGATGGGCTTAAGCTTTCTGGCTTGGTCTCCTGGGGGAAAGAAAATTTAATGACTAGCTGTCATGCATGCAGTTCTACCTCAGGGGAGAGTTCTCAGGAAGGGGGAGTGATTTCTACTCTCATAGCACAGCTTCTCTTCCACAGTGGAAACCTGACAGAAACAGAAGTCGTCTGGCCAGGACTCCTCAGCCACCAGCTCTAAGAAATCAGTTTGTCTTTCCACAGCCCCCCATGGACAGCACCATCACCTATCAGAGACACTTGGAGAAAAACCCTCTGCAGCCCCAGAAGAGGAAGAAAAATGGTTGGAAATGCCACGTGTCTTCCTTCCTATGATCTTCAACCAGGCGACATGCACTCCTGCATGCTGCTTGCCTGTTATTGTCACACTGAGCCCACCCAGCAGCTCTAAAGAAAAAAAAAAAAAAAAAGAAACAAACCAAAAAACATCAAACCAAAAAATCCCAACCACCACAACAAAACCCAAAAACTCCTCCAGCATGGCTTTATAAGACATCAAATAATTCTGACAGCTTAACTGGCAAAGAGGGAGGAGCATGAACCTTCCCAGGAGCTCCACTTAGGCACTAATTACTTAATTTACTTCATGTGTTTCAGTAGAATGACCTCAGGGCCACAGGTGCCATCAAAACATGAAGCTCCAACCTCAGCGTCTGGCAAGAAAGCTCTCGGAGAGAAGGGGATGAAAGGAAGAAGTTACTAGAGGAGATCAGCGCAGTGGCCGTTTTCCCTAGCTGTGATGGCTCTGCAGTGAACTTTACCCACGGCCCTTTCCAAGCGTTACCTGGTGAGATGTGATATTCAGGGCAGGATTGGTCAGCTCTGTTTTATCCTGGGACTTTTCTCTTGCCAAACGGGCTGCTTCTTTCACTTCCTGGAACTTCTCTGCAAACTAGAAGGGAGCGGAAAAGTAACTCTGGTGCTACGCTGAAATGAGGAACAAACTAGAATTGATGTCTGGGTTACTCCTCCTCCCTTTGGTACTTCATTAAACACATTTTTACATTTCTCTTCAAGTAGTAACAAAATGCAGGGAATAGCCCCTTCCTGCCCCTGCCCATAATTCTGTTACTTAGGGCTGTGGGAATAGCTAAGTAGCAATGACAGAAATTGAGCCCAAAGTCCCAATTTCATTTGTGATGCTCAAAACACTCTTCAAATAGTACTTTAAAGCTCTTCCTAGCATCTTTGCATCTTGCATTAGATTTTAGTACAGTGGGAACAGCATTACATCAGGTTCCTAAAATCTTTTCTCCAGGGGCTGATCTCCCCTTCAGGGTTTCAGGGACATTCCCCCTGCCAGCAGCTCCAGCGTTACCTGGGACAGATGTTGCTCTGAAGCAAAGCCCAATCCATACACCGTGTTGGCTCGGCTGTCTGCCCATTGTCCGAATTTCTGGGACGTCTTTGTGAAGGTCATGTTGGGGGTAATAGTGCTGTTGATGATCGCCTGCACAGAGAGGCAACAATGAGAGTCAGAGAAAACGCCATCCTGCTGCCCTGGGGTGGTGGTGTGGGATTGACCACTATAATCCCTCTGCGCTCTAGGAACTAGGGCTAGAAGCTCTGGCTTTTAATCTATAAGATAACAGTTCAGACTTCCGGTGACCAAAAGGCTTTCTAGTCTGGCTACGTGACATGAACAAATCTAAATCATCTTGTCTACTGAAAAAGAAAAAAAAAAAACAAACCACCCTCCAAAAAAAGCTTCAGTATCATCAGCTCCATTGGGCCTCCACTGCTGGAAAAGAAGATAAGAGACAGCGTGTCTCTGGGGACTGAACAACTTTCTGATGTTCTCAATTTTCATGGCAAGTAAGAAAAAAAACCAAAAAGGCTTCAACAGCAGTCAGGACTAGCTATTACAAAACACTCTCTGCTGGTTAGGGTAGCAACAAAATAAATTGCCTGGGAAGATTGCTGAATCTCCACCATTGGAGGTCTTCAAGAACAAGTCAGGAAAATGTCTATCAAGAAGAGTTTATAGAGAGTTAATCACATATTGTGGAAGTGACTGAACAGACTGCCTCTGAAACTCCCTTGACCTCTGTCTGTGATTTCATTATATCTACAGGGGTTGGTTTTAGCACAGGATAAAGGCTCTCAGAAAAACCTTGTGTTTTGCATGCTTGGAGTGGGTGGGGAGAAGAGAGTGGGGCAGGGAGGGATGACATCAGACCCTAGGGAACATTTTTCATCAGCATGGATTCTAGAGTCTAACACTAAATACACTCAAGCACAGAGGCTGTGTTTTACCTTCCATTCCCTGTAGTGACGATGCTAGAGTGCCCCTGCTGAGAACTGACCAACTTAACACCAAAAACATCAACACTAGAACAGACTTTGGCTGGAAAAAAACCTGCTGTCAATCTGCGGTGCTGTCAGCAAATGCCCTCTACCTTGGTGCCCCCCACGCTGATGATCCGGTACACATTGCGTGTGGCATCGTAGAAATAGGAGACAGTTAAAGCGTGCTTGCTGGCGGGGATCCAGTTCCGTTTGGTGGCAGGGTCGATCTGGAAAACATGGGCCCTGGTGCTGAAGATTGGCTGCTCCCTGCAAGAGAAACGATCAGGGCTGTCAGGGTAGAGGGGAAGCTAAGCAACGGGGGAAGTCCATCGACTTCCTGGCACTTGTGTTGCATTATGCACCACCCGCAGCACTTCTGCTATTCGCCTTCTCTCCCGGGATCCGAGACGCAAGGTGTTAAGCAGTGCGGCCCCCGAGGACGCAGCATCTCTCAACCAGCGGCCCTTCACTGAGCCTCTGTGCAGCGAGCAGCAGTTCCCCACTGTCTGGGCTGATACCATCTAGTGTCCTTTCTTATTCATGACCCAAGTTCTCCAACATTCCTGGGAATTGCTTTTCCAAGACCTCTGGGCTTCTCTGTGCCCTTCACAGGAGCCCTCCACATCCCTGGCACTCTTCTAAAGTGCATTTTAGAAGCTGGGGGACCACTGGCTGATGCCCCTGCAAAGTAAAACCCCACAGCTGCTTATGGCTCCTACTTGCCCACCATCTAGGCAGTACGATGACAGCAGTTTTCACTGCACACTAGTGACCTTGGTCTATGAAAATACCCTTGGCACAACAACAAAGCTACCAAGGGCGCATAACTACAGGTTTTTACCTTCTTCTAGAGCTTCTCTGTCCTCCTCTACAGTCTTCGGACATTTCCAAAGACCGCAGCCTGGTGATTCCAGCAATAACAGACCATGCCCTCAGGTTAGTAGATCTTATATGCATGTTCACCCAAGGATGGGCACAAAATTTGCAAGCAGAAATGCAAATAGGACATCACAGCCTCATGTCTGGGGAGTATCAGATGGCCTTGCACAACACAGCCAGCGTGGCAGAGTTATGCTAATGATTAGGGGTTATATTATTTTTAGCCCGACTTGAAGCATTCTTTCACCATCCCTCGGCACCTTAGTGATCAGTTCATGGCACCTTCACCGAGGTACAGGGTTTCTCTGGTTGCTGTATTATTTGTATTTCACAGGATATCTCCAAGCTGGAGTTCTAGGGAAAGGGATGGATGGAGGATGTGTTTGGGATGTGAGCACAAAAAGCGCCTTCCCCTCAGCACAGCTCTTCCTCCCTTGACTCACGCTTGGGAAGCACATCCTGCAGCGAGAGGTCACATTGCAGGATTAAGAGCAAGTTGCTTAACAATGAATTAAAGGAAACACTTCACCACACAACGTGCAGCTGCTGCAAGAAAGCACTAAACCAAGCACTGCCTGGATTACGTAACCAGTAATATCTGAACTGAAATAAGGAGATGAATCTCAGGCATCAGGATGTAACCTGAGCGTTTCAGGAGGCAGGAAGGAATGTTTCCACGACCCAACAGTCCAGGTGCATCTGGGCTTGGGGTCTTCATTTGACTTTGGTTAAAGCCCAAGGCACTGGCCATTGCCACACTCCTTTACCCAAACCTAGTGAAACTTGATGTGATTGGAAACATCCCACACTCCCAGGACAGCTGCAAACAAGGCATAGTCACTGCTACATGTGAGCTCCCAGAATCCAGACATCTACATTTCCTCCCTATTCCAAGTCCTCACAGCTGCAATGAGCAGACCTTCCCATCAATCCAAAGACAACTGTACCTGGTGCTTTCTGATCCCATCACCAAAACTTAGGAAGGAAATTAAATGCTCCCTGCTAGCTCAGAGGCAGAGTGCACGAGGGTCTAAACCAGCCTCTTCTCAGTATCCTCTCTGACTGGTTTTATTCATTCACAGTCTGTTTTTGGAATGAGATTCAAGTTTTCCAGGCTCCACTAACAGATACTAAATTTTACATGGATTGTGACTTATCCTTTGAAACACACCATCTACAGAGTAGGGAAAAAACTGATGCTTCTCCCCCAAGTTCTGGGCTGCTGTCAGAAAGAAGAGAAGAAGGACGTTACCTAGTTGTTGACATTTGTTAGTAAGGGTAAGACAGACTACAGGCCAGTGGAGTTAGTACACGTCTCTCCTCCAACAGCTTCCTTCTCAGGTCTCCTAGCTGGACTGAGGCTCCTTTTTGGTTTTGTCTCCACAGTGATTCATTTCCTAGCGATGGAAAAGTCAGCTGTTATTTATCACATAGAGCACAGACAGAGCGTTCACCCAGGCAGCGTTTAGGGGCTTCATTTGTCCCAAACTCACAAAGCTTGTCATTTGTAATGATTTCTCATCACCAAACAAGTTTTCTTCCCTGTCATGGGAGATAATTGGGTGAGCTGTGTAATCGGAGTAAATCCCTTTGGCAGCAGGCGCTGGCTGTTGGGAGAAGGCCACAGAGGAGCCTGGATGGCTCTAGTGTTTCCAGTCACACACACGTGATGCTGCCTGCATGACGGAAAACCCTCCTCAGCCATCACCCCTCGCACAGCAGCTATTCCTGCGCTCACAATTCATCAGCGAGGTCTGCACCCAGAGTCAACGGCAAACATCCTGCTGACTGCAGCGGGTTTCAGACCAAGCGACATTTCAAACAGCCCCCTGCCATGCATCCTGACGGAGCTCTCCGACATTCCCAGAGATAACCCTTCTCTGCCCACAGGGACAGGGTTGCAGCAGCACCTGGGTATGCACCCACCATGTGCAGTCCCTGCCCTGAGCTCCACAGAGCCAGGCAGGATCCCAGACCCCAGCAGGGAGGAACCCCTGCGGCCACGCTGTGCTGTCTCCCCATGACACACGGACAGCTGCGCTCTTCGTTTGCTTTGTAAATTAGTCTCGCCAGTAAATGGTCCCCACCCTGCTCTCCCCCATATCAACTGAGACTGCCTATCTCCAAAGGGGAGCAAAAACATAAGAAAGTGAATTTGCATGACGAAGGATGCCTGTAGAGCCTCTCTGCTAGGTCTGCCTCCAAGCAGGTCAGCTAAGAGTGACTTAACACTTGGAAAACCCCACTGCCTTCCTACTGATCCCTCCAAGACAGGGGAGGCTCAGGAGGCCACCCAGATGTCAACTGTCCTGTAATTAGTGTCACTAACCACAAAAGCCAGCATTACTTTCTTTCTGAGCACCAGGAATGGAAAATAAAATGCCACTGGAAGGCCTGTCAGACGGGAAAAAGCCCATCTTCACGGGGGTTAGCTTTTGCTTTTTCTACTCACATGAAGCTGATTTGGCTGCTCTCTCGCCCAACACAGAGCCCCTGGGCATGCCTGCTCTTTTCCCAGTCTCAGGTACACCGAAATATGCGCCGCTGATGGTGCTGATGTGGAAGAGCGCTCTGCTTTTCATGCCTTCGCATAATCACTGCTGTCTCGACACTCCTCATATGTTTGTTTGTGCCTTATGGTCCTCCCTGGAGCAACAGAACTTCACGTTGCCTGCGAAAGGTCTATCCCTTGCAGTTACGAATGTGAAAGTCTCGCAGACTCTCCGAACAGGCCTGCTGCCAGTTACACCAGATGTGCTTTGCTTCCAACAGACAGCAAACTGGCACCAACAGCCGCCGGCCTTGTCAGCAATTTCACCTGCCTGCCTGGTGCCAAGGAGGGAACTCCTGCACCCACCTCCCTCCAAGCGAAGCAAACTACATGGAATCTCCTGAAATTCTCTTTCACATCTCCTTTTTTTCTCACTGCAAACGGGAACAGTTGCTGCCAACTTGCATGTCCCTAATAATGGCAACTGGAGATTGCTTTATTAGGCCAGCACGTTATTGCCTTCTCACAACTCCCTGAGCATAGTGCCAGCCTGGCATGGGGACAGGGCTTTCTAGGAAGCAGTTGCTTAAGTTCTGTAGGTAATGGTCAAGAAGAGCTTTATGCTCCACTTGGGAACAGCACAGAGATGTTCATGCTCCTTTTGCATTGCTTGTGTAGGGGAAATAAGTCTTTGTTTGTTTTAAATCCATCAAATGATACAAGTTGTACCCAGCTAGTACAAGAATTGCATTGTCAAGGACGCCGGCTAGCCTGGAAACCTGCCTTTCAGTACTCGCTTGTCTGATGAGGTTAAAGCCAATGCTACAAAACAAAAGCTCTCCTACAGTCCAAGTGCTGGAGCACAACAAAACCCAGAAAAAGCAGGCAGCAATGCAAACCAAGAGAGAAGCCAGAAGTCTGCAAATCTCAGGGCACATCTCCAAGAACTCACAAATGGCTTATTAAATGGAAAACGGCTCTACCTCACCCTTTCTACGATTGCTTTAGCAGCAAAGGACCACGGCAGGGTTTGACACAGCTCAGCGGATCAGCAAGGCAGGGACACTGGCAGGACTGCGGGGCACTGGCGTACGTGCCAAGGGAAGTTCAGAGCAGGGAAAGCACAGGTGCTGAAAGCCAGGTCTGAGATGCACGAGCAGAGTAATGTCTGAGGAGCATCCATCCGCGTTCAGCTTGCTTCTGGCCAACCTGCTGACCTCTTGTTTCCAAAAACACTACAAAGCATTTAAAAATAGTCCTGAAAGTGCCTAGGATTCAAACTGTTGTGTTCCCTCTCCCGCTACAGCCCTCTTTTCCCCTGTGTTTTAAGTGTATATGCTGGATACGCCACACATCCCTAAATGCTGACATTTCTTTTCCTGCTCCCAGCTGGAAGTCCCCATAACAATACAGGCATAGCAGTGAAAAAGGGCATGTGTAAATAAAACCACTTACATCCCCCTAGGGCTGTCCTTCGCAGATAATTAAGAAAAACCAAAGCAAATGACTGAAAGGACAAAGATCTGGCTGAGACACAGACATGATCAGCAACTGCCTGATGGCAACTGGAAAGGATCCAGGTCTCACTGCTGCCAGGATTTGCTCCCAGCCCAGGGGGGAAGGGCAAAATTCAATATCCCATGTCCCACTGATAGCTTAAAAATGACCTGTCCCCACTGAACGTTCCCTAACACTCCAGTGGCAGGCTTCCAGCTACCAGGGAAAACCAAATAGCTAAAAATGAAACGAAGAGATGATCTCACCGATCTAGCTATTCCTAACGTGGTCTTCACATCAGCAAAGCAACTGGCTCCAGGATGCTGCCTGAGTAAAGACCCAAATACTTCCTCCTCTTGTGGCTTCTCCTTAAAGAGAAGCTGGAAGGAGGTCACTGGGT